GTCCCCCACACATACACCCATGACTATTATTTTCATGGGTTCTTTAGTCTCTCCAAGTAGAAGAAAAAGTAATATTTCTACAGTATTACAAAGTATTTCCTCAAAGAAAGCCTTCAGGAAAAGTCTACCACACTGAGGATTGAAGGCTGAACCATAAGGAAAATCTCATGAAGTGACAGTCACATTCCAACGTCTGCCAGTTTTAGAGCACAGCACACACTGTATTAGAAGAAACATTGTATCTGAGGCAGAAGACTGCATGGGCTCAAAGCAGAAATGACCTTCCCCCAACCCTTCATCCTCACCAGGGGGAAGCAAGCAAGATTTAAGCAGTACTAGTTCAGTATCAATAGCAGGTAGAAAGTAGAGCAGAAACAAATGTCCCTGATTACGCAGAACCTTCCTTGTCTGACAAAGTAAGCAATCATGGAGAAATTTCTATGATGCATCAAGAACTGTGCAACTCCACTCAAGGGAAAATCTTCCCAGTGACTATTTGCCAAAGGCTCCTAGAGACTATAATTTGAAAGACTTCATAACTACACTGATAACTACAGAAATTAAAATGATAAACAGAGCCAGCCATGGTGGCGCACACCTTTAATCCCAGCACTTGCAAGGCAGGCAGATCTCCGTGAGGTTCAAGGCCAGCCCGGTCTACATAGCAAGTTCCAAGCCATCCAGGGCTACACAGTGAGACCTTGCCTCAAAACAACAACAAAAGTAAAACAGACTTCAACATTCTCTTAATCATTGTGTTTTTATTCATAGTCATTAGTTTTTGAGTGACTACTTTGTGCCACGCACTGCCCTATACATTAGTGAATAAGAGACAACTTAGATACAGCAAGAAATGCACTAAATAGTGTGTCAGAAATGTGTGGCAATAATAGGAGCTCTGGCACAAAAAAGTTCAGCAGAAAAGGGGGAGTGGTAGTGGGGCAGAACACAGGGGACTACGCAGAGGGAGGGGCTTAACGGACACTTGAATATGGGCTTGAGAACAGTAGGAGAGCTACGCAAATATACTCACCCAAAACCAAAGTAATAACAAAAACTCTCCATCTAAAAGAATGCTCATCATAAAGACTGCTAAGGCAAGAGAATGCTTGGGGTGTTCACGAGCTAGTGTGAAGCTGGATGACCCGAACCCGAGCAGGTACATTAGTAGCAAGTGAGGTCAGTGGGTAAGAAAGGATGGAGCTGGTCATGGCTGGCACCTTGACTTCTGCAGGAAATGCAAAGCCTGGGCAGTTTAGAGCAAAGGAAAGTTGTTATCTTCTAGCCCTATGGAGGAATACCTGACTGCAAGTTCAGGTTATACAATGATTTGTTGTGTGCTCACACTGTGAAGTGACTCTCACAATCACGTTAATTAACACAGCCATCATTACGTATAATGACTATTTTGTGGACGGAAGGGGGGCAGTGAGGACACTTAAGATCGAATCTCTTCACAAATTTCAAATATACAATGGGTTATTATTGACCCGACGTATGAGGCTTTAGATTAAGAGCCCCAAAACTGTCTCGTCATTTCAGGGGAAGTTTAGGGCTTGGGTCTCTCACTCATCTCCCTGTCAGTCAAGAAAGCAGACTGAAAAGGACGGATGGAAGCACAGAGATTAGTGCCTGGTCAGAGAGGTGTCGGAGACCTTGGGGGATGAGCTGGAACGCCACACTGATGAGAAAATAAAGGTAATCCGATGTGTACAGAAACTCCTGAGCATCCCTGGACTAGCTCAACCATGATCATTTGCTACCTGAAGACAAACTCAGGGTTACACTCACTTCAGAACACTTCCTAACATACACAACCACAAAGCTAAAACACCGGGCAACTACTGTCAGTTCTCGACCAAGATCAAGTCATGAAAATAATTTTCAATCATTTCATTTTAATTTTTCTATTTATTATTCATGTGGGGGGACAGGCACAGGCCACAACACATATGTGGAGATCACAGGATAGCTGGAATCATCTTCCTCCAGTGTGGACTTCAGGGATTGAACTCAGGTCTCAGGCTTCTGAAGCAAGCACTTCTTACCTGCTGAGCCATCTCACCAGCCCAATCATTTCACTTGAAAGAGCAAGTTTTAAACAAATGATATAACCTCACCTCTACATCTCAACTACAGATTACTTTTCCTGAAATCCAGGTAGAAGCAGGGCATGAACTGAGTTTAAAGGTACAGAGAGGTGAGAAAGTAGGCAGAACCACTGCCTACTTACAGTGACAAGCGGGGACTCTGGGAACTCTTCCCAGGCTAACCGGTTACAATTTGTTATACGCTCTAAGAATGTGCCACCATCCCAAGGTGAGAGAAGATGCTTTGATTTGAATAGACAAAGATTCATATACCTAAAGATATATATACACAGTTTTTAGGGATGTAACATATATGTCCTCAAAATAGTATAGGATTGCCAGGCGGTGGTGGCGCACGCCTTTAATCCCAGCACTCGGGAGGCAGAGGCAGGTGGATCTCTGTGAGTTCGAGGCCAGCCTGGTCTACAGAGCGAGATCCAGGAAAGGCGCAAAGCTACACAGAGAAACCCTGTCTCGAAAAACCAAAAAAAAAAAAAAAATAGTGTAGGATATATTTAATGGGTCATATTCTCTATAAAACATTAAACAATTGAATTACTTAATATTTGACAGCAATACTGAGAACAGCTCAATATGTAATAAGCAACTACTTCATTTTAATGCTAGACATTTAAATTAAAAAAAACTGCCAGGCGGTGGTAGCACACACCTTTAATCACAGCACTTGGGAGGCAAAAGCAGGTGGATCTCTATGAGTTTGAGGCCAATCTGGTCTACAGAGATAGATCCAGGACAACCAAGACTACACAGAGAAAACCTGTTTCAAAAAAAAAAAAACAACAACAAAAAAAAGCAAACTAACTAAAAAAATAAATAACAGCAATCCAACCTGGACTAGTATAAGCAGAAACAGAATCCATAATAATAATAATAATAATAATAACAATAATAATAATAATAATAATACAGGGATGAAACAAATCCCAAATAGGTATGTGAGTCAGAGGGAAATGCACCCTCACAGCAGTTCACCAGAAGATAATCTATCAAAGAGATTATGAACAGAAATGGAGGCAAGCATGACATTTACCATGACAGACCATAAAGACAAGCTGAAAACCAACACTACATCTAAGCCTAAAGGGTCAAGTGGAAGGTGCACTGTCACCACAGCCTATCAAGAACCCAGCCTATGAAATGGGGGCTACCTGGTACAAGGCGCAGCCACTGAAAGGAGCCGCTACTTCCTGGGTGCTCCAGAGCAGAAGGTGAGAAGAACTACTATCCTGACTTCTCCCGCCACCCTCTTAAATTCCCTATTGGTACCTACTGTCCAAACTTAGTAAGAAGCCAGGCAGCAAAGGTGCCCAAATGATGGAATTCAGCCTCACACAGCACAATCAAAACATGCACCAGCAGAGAATGGATCCACAAAGACAAAAGAACAACTAACCATCACAAACTATTCAAACAGCAATGTCTCTATACCAGATCATCAGTCGAGTACACAGTCCCCATCTGGCAGCACATCTCCTAAATGTATAGTGTACTCATGTACATAGAAACTTCAGGTTTAAGAACATAGTTACTGGGGCCAGCCAGATAGCTCAGCAAGTAAAAGCACCTGCCACCAAACCTAAGGATCTGAGTTCTATCCCAGGGCCCCACATGGTAGAAAGAGAAGTAAAAATCTCACAAGTTGTCCTCTGACTTCCACTGACACACTGTGGTGTGTGTGCATATGCTGTACACATACAATGTACAACAACTTCAATTCTTTTAAGATTGATTTATTTATGTAAGTCTATTTCTGTATGTGTGGAAATGGAGTTATGGACAGTTGTTAGTCACCATGTCGGGGCTGGGAACTGAATCTAGGGCCTCTGGAAGAGTAGCCAGGGCTCTTAGTCTCTGGGCCATCTCTCTAACCCCCATAATTGTTTTATTTTAAATCACTACTAAAATATAAGAATGAAAAGTTATATGTGAACTTAATAAAATCACAGCTAAAAACATGAAATATAAAAGCAGGCTGAACAAGTAGCAAGAGCGCAGACTGAAGGTCTAATAGTTCACCAGCTGAGGGAGCCGCAGGTCACAAGTTAAAGCACAGGCCAAGGACAACAAACTTCCCTAAAATTCCGTTTCCTAAAGAACTCCCTTCCCAAACCACTTCTGATTGCCTTAAACGTCCATATGTATGGGAACTTAATGGTATGTCCTTTTTTAAAGACTATAATCACATCACAACAATAACTAGATAAACTGAGACAAAAGAATACAGGTAGGAAAGTAAAAGTTTCAAGTTAAAGCTACTGTAAGCACTCATGATGCAAAACTACAAAAATTAAGAAAGTAATAGTAAACAGAGGTTATTAGCTAGATCCAAAAGTATTTCTACCTAATATTATTAGTTCTTAATTATGTTAAAATGGATTAATACTAAACCAAAAATATTTTAGCTGAGCACTGTTATCTCCAAAGCACATATATGTACATGTGAGAACTGGCTCAGAAAGCAACAGTATAGAGCACGCACTGCTACAGCCTGTGTCCTACATAACCTTTTGAATGCATGACCTTTAAGTTGCTGAAGGTTGCCGCGGAACTTGGCTCAGTTTGATGGAAACATCTGTTCCCCTTGCAGGTATACTGTAAGGACTCTTCTCTCAGTTGGATTCAGAACACAGCACGTGAGCCCTTGTCTGTCCAACCACACAGACTTCCACACTTGTAAATCAAGTTCTGAGAGGACAACAGCAGGTCCACACTCCGTCACCCTTTCCCAGCCAGCTAGGCCAACTGACTGCTGTGAGAACCGCTCTTGTCATGTCATCCAATCAAAGCATGTTGAGATGAGGGACTAGAAGAGGCATCTGCAGAATTCCCAAACTGCAGTGACTTTGGAACATTGACAGATGCATCTGTCATCTTATACCTTCAACTAACCTGATGGCCACTGGGCTGACACAGTAAAGCTGTCCAAGACCGATTCCAATTCTTTCACGTTATTTTCACATGTCTCTACTAGGAAGGCCTGGTGCTTCTTAGCCTTTTAATTAAGGGAAAAAGCATACATAATAAGGTTACAGATTGTAGTAGCTGTATATTTTATTGTGAATTTATATAGCATCATTAAGTCTCAACAAGGTATTAATTGCCCAGTTCAAATCCATTACTAATAAACTCTGTCTTTTCATATTTTTACTCGGCCAAATGTGCAACTGTACAAAGTCTAGGATAATAATTCACTGAAGACTTAGTGCCTCACACTTCGTAAGTACTTTGTAAGCTGGGCTGTGGAGGCGCACACTTTAATCACAGTACTCCGGAGGCAGAGGCAGGAGAATCTCTGTAAGTATGAGGCCAACTTGGACAACAAACCAAGTTCCAGGATAGCCAAGGCTGTTAACACAGAGAAACCCTGTCTCAGGAAGAATTTAAAAAAAAAAAAAATACTTTGTATATAACAAACCTTTCTATCCTTAAAATAATGCTATGGCAAAAGATAAGAATTTCATGACAATAAAACTGAAGCAAGAGGCTATAAAGATGGTTTCCTGGGGAAAGCATCACCACACAAGTATGAGAGCCTGAGTAAGATCCCGAGAACCCATGCAGAAGCCAGGTATGACGACACACACCCGTGACCTCAGCACTGGAGAAGCAGAGACAGGGAGATCCGAGGAACTCGCGGTTAGCTAGTCTAGACAAACCCGGAAGCTTCTGGTTCACTAAGAGACCATCTCGAAAGATAAGATGGAGAGCAGTAAAGGATCTCACCCAATGTTGACCTTTGACCTCCACCTGCATGAGCATGGGTGAGTGTGCACACATACATGCATGTGCACACACACACATACTCCACACAGAGAAAATGAATAAATACTATTTTTAAACTGAGACAGAAAATTGAAAGAGTATGTTTTTTAAACCCTGCTTGCAGTCACATGGCAAGCTGTCAGAAGACAGTCAAGAGTAAATGCAGTCAAGACCAATAAACCTAACGCAGAAGTCAAGTGATGGCATAAGCAGTGAAAGGGGAATGCTAGATACAGTGTAGGAAAGCTCCTTAGTAGGTAGAACAGCCAGGCCTTAGGACGCCACACTAGGTTACACGGTACTCAGTAGACTCCTCCAATAAAAGCAGGAGTCAAGATTAAGTCTAAGGATTCAAACTAACAGAAGTGGGTGGACTTCAGTGCTTGGTGGGAATAACGGAGGTCAAGGCCATTTACACTGCGGCTGTTCTATGACTGTCTTGCTTGTTTGCTTGCATACTTGCTCACTATTAGCAGAGAGAGTGAAGAATTCACTGCTTGTTCGAATTCCACAAAGGAGACAAGAGTCATCCCTAGTACCAGTAGGATGCCTGGTAAGTAACAGGCCTTACATGAATACGTGAAAATGAGCACAGAGTGAGTAATGGAGGGAAATGGGAGAGGCAGCCGAACACACTACTGCAAAGCCAGGGTAAGTCTGGGAATCATTTACAGGCACTGTCTGAAATTCGCCCTTAGAGCGTTCGATGGAAAGGGAGAAGTGCCCAAAATAGCCTTCAGGAGCCGCAGCCTCTCTACCAACTAAACAGAACAAAAGAAAAGGGAAAACTAGAGAGCACAAGATCATGAAAAGAATGTTTCAAGGAGAATTGTCAATTATGTTCAATGCCACAAAAGGCCAAGCAAAATGAGGACTAAGAAGTGTCCACTGGGCATGGAGGTCATTACCAACTTTAAAGAACCGTCTTTAGCTCCAGTACAGCTGTAACCCAGACTAAAACAGGTTGGAGAAGGGATAAGCGGATTTTTTTCCTGGTCAAGTATAACATGAATAAATGGAAACAGAAACTTCGGGAATCCCTTCCGTGGTAAGAAGGGAGGGAGAAAAAGAAAAACAGATGCAAAGGAGAGGGGTCAAAGAGGAGTTGGGGTGTTTTAATGTGAGGAAACGTAAGCTTATTCAAAAGCTGATGAGGTCACTACTAGTGAAAGAATGCTTACGAATGCAGAGCACGCAGGATAGACAGGACAGACAGACTCACAGCCTCAGAACACAGAAACCCTCTGCTCCACAAGGAACTGTTCCAAGGCTCCAGAGGCTGCCTGAGAGCAGACAGCACTGACCAAATGTCTACTATATTTTCTGTACATGCACACCTATGAGATGGTTTGTTTGTAAATCAGGCACAGCAAGAGGTTTGTAATAATAACTAAAATAGAACAGTTATAGTAATAGGTACTGTTACAAAAATCATACCAACAGGGCCCTCTTGCTCTCAAATATCTTATTCTGCCTTCATTTTTTACTGAAAGGGTTGCAGTTTGAAGCTTTTTGTAGCCTCTCTGAATTGTCAGTATCACTACTCTTGTGCTTGGGGAAACTATTACATGAACGAAGGGTTGCCTGAGCACAAGAGTGTGATCATGAACGAAGGGTTGCCTGAGCACAAGAGTGTGATCATGAACGAAGGGTTGCCTGAGCACAAGAGTGTGATCATGAACGAAGGGTTGCCTGAACACAAGAGTGTGATCATGAACAAAGGGTTGCCTGAGCACAAGAGTGTGATATTAGGATGAATCACCTGGTCACTGGGAATGCTACTAATGATTAACAGGCAGCTAGTATAGACAGCACGGTTGCCCTGCTGTGTCCAGGATAACGGTGTGAGAAATCATCACACCACTCAGATGACTTTTTTCAAACTTGGGAATTCTTCATTTCTAGAAGTTCCCATTTTATATTTTTGAACTATAGTCAGTCTCAGATAACTAAAACCACTAACCACAGCTAAGAGGGAACTACTGAGGGTTAGGGATGTATAGTACATGCCTGGTGTGCTCAAGGTCCTGGGTTCAATCCACAACATCATAATAACTGGGTCAGAAGCTACTGTATATGACAGGTAATGATTCCGTATTCAGGGATTTGCTCAATGACCACTTCAGAAAAGCAGTCTTCAAATCCCTGACTATGTCAACTTCCTTGACCATAGTCTTCACAGCGCCTATCTCAATAACACTCTGTTTTCATTTGAGTGGTTCTATTTTCAATGTGAATAGCTCAAAGAAGCCTCATTAAGAGAGGATTATTTTTTGCCCTCACCAATATACACTTAGCACCGAGACAGTACCTAGTATCTAAAATAAGTAAATGATGTGATCAACTGGCCTCTTTTGCATGGCACAGGAAGAACCCTAAGTTATAGTGTTTTGTTGGACTTATACTTCAAGGATAAAAAGTAAAATTCTTTTTTTTTTTTGTCCTGATAAAACTTCTATTTGCTGGTATTGTGCTGAGAATTTTGCCAGCTATATCAAAAGGACACTGAATGCAGCTTTCCTGTATCTGTGCCTGCTTTGTTACAGACAGGTATCACTGACCACAGAATAAAATGTTTTCTCTATGGTTTCTTAACAAATTTGTATGAATTCTTCTTAAATGGTTAGGATTTACCAATAAAGCAATCTAGCCTGTGCTTTTTTTTTTAGGAATTTTTTCTAATTAAAATTTTAAACATCAGCCGGGCGGTGGTGGCGCACACCTTTAATCCCAGCACACGGGAGGCAGAGCCAGGCGGATCTCTGTGAGTTCGAGGCCAGCCTGGGCTACAGAGTGAGTTCCAGGAAAGGCGCAAAGCTACACAGAGAAACCCTGTCTCGAAAAAACCAAAAAATAAATAAATAAATAAACATCTTACTTGATTTTCTATCATTTTTAAAGTTATTTTGTTAATTTCTATCTTCCCAGAAAATTACCTATTTTAACTAAATTGTCTAACTCATTATCAAACAGATGTTCAGGGTATTATAACTATTTTTATTTATATTTTCTCTGTGGTTTAATAATTTGATCTCTTTTATTTCCTTGATGACTCTATCCAACTCTTGTTAATTTAGCTATATTTTCAAATAACCAACTTTTGGTTGAGTTCCTCTTTTTCTTTTTTTTTCTATTTTTTTTTTTTTTTTTTTTTTTTGGTCTTTCGAGACAATATTTCTCTCTGTGTAGTCCTGGCTGTCCTGGAACTCACTCTGTGGACGAGGCTGGCCTTGAACTCAGAGGTCTGCCTGCCTCTGCCTCTCGAGTGCTGAATTAAAGGCATGGATTTCCTCTACTTTTAATCTCTTTTTCTTTCCTTTCCTTTTCTCTTTGTTTCTTTCTCTATTGGTCTGAGGTTTTGTTCAAGTCTCTAGAGTAGGATGTTAGGTTCCTGATTTGAGAGTATTTCTTCTTGAACATCCTTCTTAAGCACACTACCATCCTATAAAGTTTGGTATGTTTTCTAAGTATTTTCTAATCCCTTTGTGATTTCTTTTTAACCTACTAGCTATTTGGAGTGTGTTCACTAATATTCTCATATTTGCTAATTTTCCTCATACTGTCTTCTATTATTGATTTCTAATTTAATTCTATTATATTCAGAGGCTTTATATAATTTTTCCTTTATTTTTTTTCTTTAGGCAGTACTAGGAATTGAACCTAGGGCTTGTACATGCTAGGTAAGCTTTCTATCACTAGCTATATCCTCAGACCACTCTGTAAATTCTTAATCCTTTTAAATTTATTAGTTTTTCACATAGTCTAGACTATAGCCTGTGCACAAAAGTTGCATTTGTACTTGAAGAGTGTGCTGTACCACTGATGGATGTGGTTCCACAGATATTTGTAAGGTCAAGTTTGTTTACAGTACTGTTGAGTCTTTTGTTTGTTGGTATTATTCCTACTTGGGCTACTCACTACTGAAAGTAGTGTACTGGAAACTGAAATTACAATGCTGTTTCCACATTCAATCAGGTCAAACTTTGCTCCACATATTTTGGATCTGTGTCACTGTGTGTGTGTGTGTGTGTGTGTGTGTGTGTGTGTGTGTGTGTGTGTGTGTGCGCGTGCGCGCGCTAGTTTTCCATGTCACTCTGTGCGTATGTGTGTGTTAGCTTTCCATGATACCTTGACCCTATCATTGTAAGATATGCCTGTTTACCTACAGCAACATTTTTATTTCAAAGTCTATTTTGGTTGATAGCACTCCAGGCCCATGCGATTGTTGTG